TAATAACAACTTAAAGATTAAGTGTGTAGACACAATTAATGGTTAATTTATTCTAAATTGTATTTATCACATTGTTTGGTAAAACATTTGTTAATAAGACAGTTATTTGTGAAAAAATTGTTCAAATAAATTGCATTCAATTTGTGTTTCTAATCAGCCAGTTACACAATGTAACATGAAGAGGTCAACTGGAACTATATCAAATACATGATGTATCATTAGAACAGAGATTAGTCACAATTATGTACCTAATCCATTTTATCTGTATATGACATCACCATTGCTATTATTTAAATGCTAAAGGACAACAAAATATATGTAGGAAAGCTTCTCTAGCTTTCTCTGGGGACAAATTATTATAATATTTGCTCATGCTCAGAAAGTCAAAGGATTTGGACTTTGCATTAGCCATTTGTTTAAAGGAAGGTTGTTTGCAATCTAAATATAAACTTAACTTCAGCACTTTCCATCTCTATTCATTGACTCATACTCGAGTACATTTATGTGATAAACATGCACAGCTAATAATCAATGCTATGGTGGCTGTGTGTACAGAACAAATAAGAGAAGAAACAAATATTCCATGTCTGTACTCACATATCCAAAACAGAATGTAATGATGATCAAATATACGTGCTTTAAGGAAGAGTCCTTAAAGGTCATTTATATTAACTTTTTATACACTTCTATTAGACAAAAAAATCACCTTCCATTGCCACCATGCTTATTTATTTCAGCGTATATACTTACTGCAAGCATTTGTTTTTCAAACCTTGCATTCATTCATCTCAAAACTTAAGATTTATGGAAGATTAAAATCACCTCTTTTTAATTTTCTTAACTGGGATATGCGTGGGCCTTCTTTCCATAAAATCTTTCTCATCCTTTTTTTCTTTTTCATCATCACTCTTACCCAGGGGAGCTGGGTACATAGCACTCAGTATCTGCTCTTTTCCAAAACAGAGAATGCAGGTTCCTCTCAATAGTGAGAAAAATCTCCTTATCCCATGGCCAAGCAAAACAAAAAACAAAAAAAAAAAACAAACCTGGGGTTTTACCTAAGTGAAGAATTATTGTGTGAGAGGTCCAGAGACTTAGCAGGCCAAAAACTTGCACTGCATCTTCCAAAACTTATGACTCCTTCTGTGATTTGCCCTCCAAAAAGACCAAAATTTCCTATATTCAAATGATTTTTCAGCAGCAGCCATCTCACCTTTCAAGTTCTACCCTGCAACCCCAAATGTGTGGGATTGCGAATCGATTATTTCAAAACTCAAAAGCACTAATTTGCACCTCTTTTGCTTTCTCCTCATCTTAAACATGAAAGAGTTTGTATGGAAAGGTTCGTATTTCTCTTTTGGAAGCATGTTTTTGTCTCCTGGGTTTATAAGACAACCTGGCTGCAGTGGGTACACCCACTCCTGTCCCTCTGCCAGGAGCTGCACCAGGGGCTCTGCCACGCACCTGCTGCCAGGTGGGAAAAGCACAGCAGGGCACACACAGACTGCTCATCTCAGACTCTCTTGATTTGCTGGAAAAATACAATGTCATCCTTAAAGAACAGCAGTTTCTATGAGATTCATACTGGCATAAAATATATTAAACACTTGGAGATTTTGAGCGCTACAGGACCTCCATCCAGCCCTCCTGCAGTAGAGCCTACCTCATACCAGAGGAAAACCACAAGTCCCTGTAACCTCACATTTTCCTCTATATCTTCCCCACCTGCCTTCCTCATTTGAGTGATACTGCTGACTCTGAATAGCTCATTAAGACAATTAAGCGTGCTCTAGGTGGGAGTTCAGCATCCCCCTGGCCAACTCTGCCATCATCAGCCTACCCCTAACACTTCCCTCCTCCTCAAGTTATCTGCTTCAGAGGCTGACTTCATCTCAGTTTTTCAAAACCAGACCTTTCTGTGCTTACAGTCACCTGGCAAATGGCAGGGCCTGGTCTTCACATATATTTTCTGAATGGCTGGCTAGCCCAAGAAGAATAAGGATGATAATGATGATAATAATAATCTAATTATTCAATGGAAGCTACACCCATCTCTTGGAGGCAGGGCAGCAATTTCAGCAGTGGCAGTCCTGCTGCAGAAGTAAGCAGAATGCAATCTCTTCTGCAGAGCCCTAGTGAAGAGCCAGCCAGGCTCAATGAGACCTTGAGGACCTGAGCACATCAAAATTAGATTTTTATGCAGTGGCAGTGTCTACATTGCAGCTGTCAGCAGCACACAGCAGTTGCTGCAGCCAGTGGTGGACCTCCCAACTTTAAGCATCCCTACTTTAGCCAGCCTGGCTCCCTCTCTGCCCTCCTGCCATCCTTCACACTCGAGGCAATTCAGCCAAGAGTGCAAGGGGAGACTTGGAGATTTACACCAAGGCATAAGGAAGTTGCCCTGTGGTGTAATTTCATTCTCTAAGGGAAATCTTGAAAGCACAACTATAGCCCTCCCACACGTCAATTTGGCTGCAAGCAGGTTCTGAAAATCCATATACATGCACCAAAGCGTAAAGACTCTGCCTCCTCCGATAAATCAACTGGAGAGGAGGGGTCACCCTGTTAGGGTACCGCTCCTGAGAGGGAAATCGTCCTCCCTGAGGGGCCGTTTTGGGAGGCGGGGAGGAGAGCGATGGGGCACTCCGAGTGCAGGTCCCGGACTGCCGGGGATTCCCGCCGGGACGCCGAGCCGCGAATGCTCAGGGCCTGTCAGGGTACTCGGGGGCTGTCAGGACACTCGGGGCCTGTCCGGACGCTCAGGGGCTGTCAGGGTACTCGGGGGCTCTCAGAACGCTCGGGGCCTGTCGGGACACTCGGGGCCTGTCGGGACACTCAGGGGCTGTCAGGACACTCAGGGGCTGTCAGGACACTCGGGGCCTGTCGGGACACTCAGGGGCTGTCAGGACACTCAGGGGCTGTCAGGACACTCGGGGCCTGTCGGGACACTCAGAGCCTGTCGGGACACTCAGGGGCTGTCCGGACACTCGGGGCCTGTCCAGACGCTCGGGGCCTGTCCAGGGGCCGCCCCCGCGGGTGAAGGAACAGCGGGGCTGCGGAGGTGCGCGAACAGCCGGGGGCTGAGAGGACACCGGCACATGGTACAACCTGTCACGCTGCTGGGGCACAGCTCTGACGAGTTTGTCTGAGCCCCCACCGCAAACCAGGGCATTCCCTGCTTGCCGTGCCAGCCTGAAATTCCCGTGCCATGGCAAGACAGGGACAGATCCTGCCAGATGCCCAGCTGTGCTTTCAGCAGGTCCGCTGGGGTGCTTCGTTTCGACTCGGATCATTTGAGGTGGAATTCCGTGATTGATGTTCACGCTTTGGGGATTAAAGAAGAGGGAAACGACTGGTAATCTCAAATGGTCATAGAAAACCGTAGCGTTTCTGGAGCTAAAACCACTCCAACATGCTAGTTGCCTTAGGGTTCCTTTTTTCATAGCATTACAACATTACAATGCACAAACTTCTGTCTTTGTTGCTCCCCGTTCACCCAAAGCAGGTGCTTGGACTTAACTGGAAAGCATAAACCGCAAAAAATACAGAGAGGGACTGGTATGGGGAAAATGGACATAAAAATGTGCAGAATAGTTAGAACAAAAGTGATAACATCTCTGCTGATACTCATCCTTACTGAGGAAATGACACCCCATATTAAATAGAGTAAAATAAATTTTCTTTAAAGGGGAATTGCAGTTTACTGACTATAGCAGGGTGCTGACCAAAATGTCTATTTTTTCATGCAGGCGCAATGTCCCATCTTAGAGCACAACGCCCGTTATCACCTTACATACCAAAGGGATTATGCCCTAGAAAGTGCAGGTGCTGTGACCTGCAGCACCTTCCCACTCCACCAGCAGCCCCTCCACACATGACCAGAGCCATGGTCGAGTCACTTCATTTTGGGAAGCACTCCTTAAACTGGGCTACCAAACCACTTGCCACCTGTGCACGCACCAAAGCCATGACGGCAAGATCATGATGCTGCCATCATTTCTCTTAGGAAAGGGGAGAGTTGTGCCTCTCAGATGCTTCCAATATCTACATTTGTCGCCAGGGAGAGGAAAAAAAAAAAGGCAGAATTGAGGAATATTCAGTCCCAAGGATCAAAGAAGTACCACAGGCCCCACTGGTCCTACGATCCTAATGAAGCATCAGTGCTGCTGGCAACAGCTACTGCCGTGTCCAGAGGGGATAGTAATAACTACCATGAAAACACTTTAAAACAGTCCAGCCGAGCTTCCCTTCCCTCACAGGGCCTCTGTGTTTCAGTACAAGCAGGATAGCTAGGGCACAACCCAGCCATTCCAAAATGCAGGGAGATGTATTGAGATATATGGTATCTCAGCACTTACTCTGATTTTTTTTTTCTATTTAATTTTAATATTTTTTTAAGTTCAACTGACCCTTCTGGTCACCAACTTTCTTTGTGGTTCACTGTAAGGATCGCTCTCCAAGAACAAAAAAGAAATCTCCGAGCTTTGATAGAGACTCTGGATGAAATTAAGAACTTCAAACCCCAGATTTTTGAAAAGAAAAACAGATGTCCTGTTTGTTGAGTATAAATAACTCCGTACGTGGAAGCCTTTTCTTTTACGCCGCATTAAATTTTATTTAATGCTGGGTGCATTTAACCTAAAAAAAAAAAAAAAAAAAAAAAAAAAAAAGGAGGGGGGTGCAGCAAAATACGTGGGTGACAAACCTCTAAATCTTTCCCTCTCTCGAAAGAGAAAGAAACAGGCAGACGGGAAATCCTTCATCTGGATGAAAGCGCACAATGTGCTTCCTAGCAGACCTGGCGAGCCTGCCCTGGTCAGTGCGGCGGCGAGGGGAGGGGGAGAGGAGGCGGCGGCAGGGAGGGAGGAAGGGAGGGAGGGAGGGAAGGCAGGGAGGGAGGAGCGGCCCCGGCCAGGCAGAGCGGGGCGCGCCCGCAGGTGCCCGCCCGGTGCTCGGTCCCGGCCGGTCCCCGCCGCAGGAGCGGCCCCGGGCTGACTTACGTGAGCACGTAGTTAACGCTGACGATGCAGTGCGGGCGGGAGGAGCGGCTGTTGTGCACGATGGTGGCGTAGCTCTGCACCCACACCCAGCCGCCGTGCTTGGCCAGGAAGCGGTAGTACTTGGTGGTCACTTGGCCCTTCACCAGCACTGCGGGGACAAAGCGAGGAGAGCCTCAGCGTGGCTCCCGCCTGCGGTTTGATCAGCCCCGGGAAGAGGCGCACACTCCCCCCGGAGCCCTGTAGGCGACCAGAGGGGTTAGGAACCTCTTAGCCAGAGGGGTTAGGAACCTCTCAGCGGTACATGCGGACAAGGGTGGTGGAGCCCCCAGGCAGGGCTTATCTCAGTGCCTGAGATGGTTATCACAGGCTAATAGGGAGATTGGTAGGGCCGGGGGGAGCGTGTGTGTGTGGTCCTCTACGGCAACCGAACCCCGCACACTCCCATCCTGAAGTATCATCATGGAGATTTTGTTCTATAAATCTGTCTTTGGGTTTTATCTCTTCTCGTTACGTTCTCTGTAAGGAAACTTACCGGAAATTGGTATCCTTTCTATTCATCTATCCGTTATTAATGTCATCGTGATATCAAAATAGAATAAAGTACATCTCGCCGGATCAGGCTCACTACTGCAGTCGAAATTAGATATACAGATAAGGTTTGTGAGACTTGGTGGAAGTGAAATAAAAGTATTGATATTTCACTGGTATGGCTTTTTAGAGCAGGAAAAAAAGGGTTTTCCTAACACGATATCCTTTCATTCCCAATGCCCTCCGTTTGCCACCTGAGTCCAGAGTTCAGTCTCTATGTAACCTTGTTTCACTAAAACCTGAAGAATATTTTGCTTATTCTGCCCCCCAGAGAGCTGGATTTTCACGTGCCGACCTAGAGGTAAATCCCAGCACCCCCAAAGTCCTTCTGCAAAGGGACAGGATGGGGGCGGGGTTTTAAACAAGAAGACCATCTCCTTACACAAGTGATGTGCACAACGCAGGTGAAAGGTGTCACAGCCATGGACGTGGTGGTAAAGGGTCTTCTCTATCAGATCCTGGGGCTCATAACCTGTTAGCTCAGCTACCCTGCAAGAGACATAAGCAGCAAATCTAAGTGGGTAAGAGGACAGGAGAGGAGGCCTGGGGAAGAAGGGGCGGGCTAGGGGAATAGATTTGGAAATAACCCAAGCTCTACCTGGAATCTAAGAATATGAGCTTCATGTCTAGGCTGGCCCGAAACATGAACATATTGCTGTGGAGCTTGATCTCCGTCACGGCGCTGGGGGGCAGCGAGTGGCCCACGGCGACCAAGCCAACGTTTTGGTAGCAGCCGTCGAAGGGGGACATGTCCAGGCTGTACTGGCGGATCTTCAGGTACCCGCTGCAGTGAATCACCTGCCGGAGACACAGGAAAGCTTGGCGGCGGCTCAGCAGCGGGGAAGGGTGTGCTGAGTCCCTCCCCACGAAGAGGGCCCGGACAATTCCCCCCATCCCGGTGAGGTGCGGGACTCGCGGGAGCCGCTGACCTGCGTCTCCACCCTGGCAAAGCGGCACCGTCTAGGAGTTTTCTGCGGTTCTATTGGGGTTGAATTTACTTTTTTTTCCCCATAGTAGAGTTCAGCATCGATCTAAGGCCCATTAGAGCCAACAAGATTTTTTTTTCCCACTGGCTTAAGTGGTTTTTGGCCCACCTCCTAACTGCGCTATTATTATTCTTCTGAAAAGGAAAGACGCGGAACTGCCAATCCAGTTACGACTTTGTAATGAAGAGTGTATGCGAGAAAGGGCTTACATGTGTGCATCTGTCACATGTGTAAGATGCGCCTGTTATATGGATGGAGCAGGCGCAATCCACCGCCAAAAAGCACCTTTGATTTAAGTATATCTCCTAAACGTATCCTTGCAGACAACTGCTGTCCACTTCTACTCTTACTTCTCTGTTACTAAGATGGTTCTTCTTGGGGTTCAGCAGGTGTTCTTGGTCTATGGTATATCGTGACACGACATCTCCTTGGGTTATGGGTGCAACCCCCTCCTCGGCGTTGTGTGGCTGACACAAAGCAGCGAGGAGTTGAGAGACAGCGCAGGGCTCTCCTTACTGAGGAGCCCCGAGCAGAACCGTGTGAAGCACCTGGTCAAAACCCTTGACTGGGAGAGCTGCCTCTGCAGCTGACGGATCACCTGATTAAGAAATAAATTAACCAGGGCTCCGTTTTTATCACCTGAAAGTTGTCGCTGTGAACATCAGAGGTTGTGCGAGGTTCAGTTCAAACAGTAAAATAATAATTAAAAAAAAAAAAAGATAAAAAAAGCCCACAAACAAACACCAAGGGGAGATCGATTGCTTGGCTTTGGTTTTGTGGTTTGTGCTCTTCAACCTGAAACTCTGAGAGAAATGGACCACATGAAAGAGCCCTGGGCTGGGAAAACCCCCGCAAGAAGAGGTCTCACCCCCTCTTCTCTCCCCATTTTCGCAGCCTTCCCGGCACAGGGACACGGGCAGGCTGGTGCGGGGGGAAGGGGGAATCTGGCCGCGGGCACGCACCTTGTAGCCACCGCAGGTGAGGCCCGCGTTCCTCTTGGCCAGGACGCACTTCATCCTCAGGAAAAAGGATCTCTCGATCTCGTACTCTGGGAAGGGGGAAAGGCAGAGGAGGGGTGAGCCAGGGGCTCCGCGGGCTCTGCGCGGTTCCCTACGCGGCCGCGGGGGCTGTGGGCTTTACCCTGCACGAAGTGCGAGTGGTAAGGCTGGTGCGCCGTCAGCACCGCCGTCATCTCGTCGTGGTCGGCGGGGTGGATGTACTCGTAAATGCTGTTGCCGGTCAGCTCTACCTGTGAGAGAGGAGGAGGAGGAGTAGGGGGGCTCACGGCCGGCACCGCGCACCCTCTCCTGTCAGTCGCGGGGGTGGCTCAGGCAGCACAGGGGCCAGCAGGCCCCCCAGCGTACCTGCGACAAGCCCAGGTGCACCGAGGCAGTCTCCGAGATGTACATGATCTTGCCATCCGGAGCCACAACAAATATGAAACCGTCCAAAGTCTGCAGAAAAGGGTTGGGAATATAATTAAATTATTGGAAAGACCCATTATATACCTGAACCTCTGATTTATTTTAGCAAACAGGCATCGATGTTCAGGCTCTGATTATTCAAAAAGTTGGAAGGAAATGGGCAAATCTTAGACAAGAATCCCTCTAAAGCTCCTGGACCCCTGAGATACAACCCACTTCTCAGAGGGGCCGAGCTCAAAAGTAACGCCTTGAAAGTGCCTTGAAAGTATCTAAGAAGAGGTCCTGGCTATCTGGTGATTAATATGTGGGTCCCAGAAATCCCAAATTCTTCTATCCTATTTCAAATGTCACGGAGGTTTAGTACTTGCCAATTTTATATGGAGAATTTAGGCGATCAAAGAGAATTTAAAACTCTCCACAGTGTAAATAAGACAACTGGTCAGGTACATTTCAGCAGACACAGACGGGACTTCTGGGTGTAGCAAGAGCAGAATAGCTACTCCAAAGGCCACACGATTCCACCAGAAATACGTGGTGGTGGTCATCACTAATATTCCTTACTATTTCAGAGCGTTGTGAGTTTTCAGATCTGTCCTCCCTGATTTGTGTCTTTGCTAATGTCGGTGCCCGCTGAGCCCTTCTGTCCCAGACAGCCGTCCCTAACCTGTCACTACAGCCTCTCCCTGCCACACCCCTCTGGGCTTACAACATTGATGAGATGTGTCACCTTGTTAATAAATTTGGTAAAAGTCGTGCTCCTGTGTCTCTGGCAGCCTGGGACACACTGTGAATCCCTCTCTGTGGACGCAGTGTTAGGTGATTCTGAGGCACCCAGAGGGACCAAGCCACCAATAAAACACACGACACTGAATCACAGTGGTTCACATTTCTGAAGTGGTTCCCCTCCTGCCTACCTTTCTATTAAACACTTGAACGGTTAAAAATTAGTCAAGGTGGCAATTGAAAGCTCAGAAGAGGGAATTATTTCTTTAATCATTAATAACATATGCCTGTCGTTTCTAGACCAGTACCTGCAAAAGGTGGGATCCCAGTTCCCGTCCAACATTATCCAGTGGGCTGGTTCGACTGGAGTGGCCCCAGGCTTCTCCGAGTCCTATTATTTAAAAAAGACAAATAAAAAAGGAAAGTAAGGTCAGGAGATGAAAAATTGGCTCGTGTGGGCCTGATGGGGCGGCGGGGGGGGAACATTTTTACCGTGTGTACACTCTAAAACATATATACATACAATCTTTGGAAAACTAGATGTGACTACATTGCAGATAAAAGCCTCATTTGTGCTTTTTCTTTTTTTTTTTTTTTTTTTTCAGTATCTAATTCCTCAGAGAGAAAAATTCCTGAATACTTATTTTGAGTTAAGGGTGAAGTTAATTTTTAAGACCTAAGTGTAACAGCATGCCAGATCCAAGTGCTTTTCAGTGCTGCTTTCGGCTCCTGGGAACTGTCCCCCTTGAACTTCAGGGGAAGCATCCTAACCTCGCAGTTTTTCGTCACTGTCCAACGGCACGGACCAACCTCCGCCTGCCCCACCAAGTCTGCCTCCAGGATTCACCTCCATCCCTTCCATCTCTCCTCCTGCTGCTCCGGTGGGCGGGATGGCTCCCGCTGCAGGGAGGGGTGATGTGCCTCCATAGAGCCCATTCCAGAAATTAATCTTTCCGGGTTTGCCTTATGTTTTACACGCGTCTTGTTTTCTCCTATGCAAAGTGAGTAGTAATAAAAACCACGTGGAAGTTACTTCAGGGGAGTAAAGCTATTCATGGACGATGTCTTTTCACGGTGTTGTTGCTGAAATAATTTAAACGGGTCACTTAAAACTTTTCAGGCTTGTGCCGTGAAATAAGTCTCACTCCGACACGCACTAGCAGTAAGATAGAGCAAAACGGAGGGGAAACCTACAAATCCGGATCGATGGCTGGGGTGCAGGTAGCAAGGGGACCCGAGCCGGCGGGATGTGCTCACTCCCGCAGTGCGGGTTCGGGCAAGGCAAGACCTCGTTTTCCAGTTATTTCGAGACAAACAGACGAGGTGCTGGCAGCAGGCAGCCGCGGGCATCCCTCGCTATTGACCGGCCTCACCCGGGTGTTTGCCGGCCCGAGCGGAGCGAACGATTTCCCCCTCGCTCTTTGAACGGGGCATCCCAGCGCGGCCCCTGCGCGCCCTCCCCACCGCCCGCGCCGCGCGCCCCGCTCGTCCGCGCCTTTCGCTTCCTTCTCCCCCTTCCTCCTCTGCCTCTTCACAACAACTTCACCACCCCTACACTTTTCTCCTTCTTCCTTAACTTCACAGCCCTACAGAGGCAGGAGATTCTCCCTGGCCCGTCCCTCATCCTGCAGCCTCAGCATGTAGCAGGTCGCCAGTCAGAAACAGGCTCCTTCCCATTAATTCCTCCACGCCAACTAAGAGGGAGCCAGCCGCCAGGATGGAGGATCACCTCCGCCCCCTGTATTCAGGAAGGAGCTGGCAAATTTTACACAGCTTCCAGGAAAAGAGAGAAAACCCCACGGTTTATTTGTTTTTCCCGAACTCCTCGAAGGTTTCTTTGCTGGGGAGCCAGGATGGCCAGTTAGCGCTGAGCTGGCTCCTTGCCACGTCCCCCACCCGGAGGGAAATCTGAGTGACAGGTTTCTTTATTCAAGACTAAATCTGCACTGCCCGCCTATGATTTAAGTTGCTTATTAATCTAAGTTTACGGTTCTAATTATTCTTCTCCTAAAAGGGAAAATAACCCGACCCCAGCGGGTTAATGAACAGCTCAAGGGAATTGCAGGTTAACCTCCCTCGGGAAGGCGGTTCTTCACGGCGCGCTGAGCTCCTCTGTATGTTTCAGGTGGAAACCCCGCGCTGCTGGGCTCTGTCTGCTCGTGGTTTATAATTAAACGTTTTCACTTGTCTACCTGAACCGGCTTTTTCAAATCCTGTCACATGAGAAGATCCTTTGTGCTGCCCAGATGTTTTCAGTACTTTCAAGTCGGAGACTCTTTCTAAACGTTGCCCAATCCCAGCCTCTCCCAAATCGACGGCCTCTCCTGATGCCCCTTAAATACTGTTTTCAAAGATTATAAGAGAAAGCCCCCTCCACTAATTTTCCCTTCCCCCCCCGCCCCATCTATTCCCTTTAACATCCAATTTCCTTTTATCGAGGAGGCAAACTGTGATTTCTTGCACTTGACCTACCGCAGAAAATTCTGCAAATCCTTTGATTGTCTATTTAAAACAAAACAAGGAAATCAGCTCTCCCTTTTGCTCCAGGATTACGCTTGGAAACAAGATCTAAAGATTCTCTTGTAATTTGGAGAGCCAACAGCATAATAGCTTTGGAATAGAAACAAGCAGCTTTGTGAGAAGAAGGATAACTAAATCGTTTTTAGGCAAAGGATTTTCCCAGCTAAAGTGGCCGAAGACAAAGCAAAACATAATCTATTTTGGAAGATTTCCAAGTTATGCCACATTAACCTTAGCAGATAAAATTTGCTTTCTTCCCTGAGGCCCCTCCCCCACGGCGGTCTGGTTTATCATATTTACATAAGTAGCCTTAGAAGGGATGTATTTATTATGGATCTAAGGAGCTAGCGAGATCACATTTCATTTGGAAATAGAGGGGAAGTTTTACTCTTGCTTAATACTTGATGCATTGTAGAACCATTTCCATTTAAATACCCCCGACCCACGGATTACCTCCATGGACTGGCTGCATGGGTTTTGTAATTTCCTGAAAATGAGATTTCGATTTTTAAAACAAGAAACCAATTAGTAACCAAATGAGGCGAAGTAGATCCACTAAAATTGACCTAATCCCACAGGCACCGTTTAGGTCAGTTCTTGGCGAATGAATGATGAGCAACCGTCTAACATAAGCTCAAGGCATCATCCAGCTGGGTTATTCAAGCAGAAAAATAATTTTTTTTTAATGGATCGAGCTTTTATTTCAGAATGAATTTGATACTCTTGCCAAAATATGGATTATATGCTCCTGCCTAACAAACTCTTCCTCCTATTTAACAATCTCTTTCACTCGATGAACTTTTTTCCTGAGAAGAGAAACTATTTGTGCCACGAGATATTGTCTGCTGTTGTGAGGGGGGAAGGGAAAGGCAAAAAAGAAAATAAGCAAAAAAGACTTTTTTTTTTTTTTAAAGAAGAGAAAAGAAAAGTATTTTATGCAGACTATCACTCATCGTTACCCAACAGCCTTCACCTATAGTGCGCGGAACCTGCGCGGAGCGAGCGTGCTGATTCATCGTTTCTCTCAGCACTCTCCAGTGGAAAGCCACTGTGCTTTCCACATCAAAAAGCATGTCCATCGGTTTCATGGGCTCCTACAAAGGCGGGTCCCTGTGAAATGCCTTCTCCCACCCAGCCGCGCCCACCGCCGGCACTGAGAGCCGCTCCGCACCGCCAGCCTGCGCCCCAGGCCGGGCGCGCAGCCAGACCTGCCGCGCTGCACTGCCCCGCTCCTGTCCTGCCTTCCCCTCATCTTTTGATTGATGCAAGCCTTGATGTCGACAGCCAATGGAACCAGGGGCTGGGTGGGCACCTTCCCTATCCAGTGGCGATACTATTTCAAGAAGCTCCCCTGTCCTGCAGAAGGGGGAAGAGATTCCTGAATCGTTTCTAATTTGATCTAGGCAAAGACGGAGGAAGGCAGGCGCAGGGAAATGAGACTCCGAGAAGCCAGGGCAGCTCCTTGGCCCCTTGGTCTCCGGGTTACTTGTCCCTCTGTGAGCATCTGCAGTGCAGAGCCCATCTCGACCCCGTCCTTTGTCTGGCAATAGCAAAGGGGGGCGGGGGTGGCCGTGGGGGTGGGGTGGCCAGAAGATGCAAGCCCTTGTCTACTTTGCGCTGATTTGCCGGCTTTTAAAAGCAGTTACGGCGATTTCCCCAGCGGGCTCGCAGTCATGAAACCGCAGCGCAATCCGGATTCACTGTAGCAGGGGACTTGAAGCCCTCGTTTGAAAACACCTAGTGGAGAGCCCGCCCTGAGCTCCAGAGCCGCTTCTTTGGGGGCCAGACCCTGAGGCCGGCTCCCTCGGAACCCTTGGGTACCCCTCCGGGGTTTGCCCTGTCTGGCGCACGGCCCCGCACGGCCGGGCGAGGCCCAGGGAAACTGGCTCGGAGACGAAGCCCCGGAGGCAGGGAGTTCTCTCCTGCTGCTGTGGATGGGCAGAGGGAGAGGCTTGGGGGGCTCTCCCGGGGGCAGCCCGCTGCTGTGGGGCAGCGCTGGGAGCCCACCCGACGGGGCAGCCGCAGGGAGTCTTCCCTAAGTCGGGTCCCAGCAGGGCCATCACGGGTTTCTCTTCCAGGAGTTGCTCAAAACTCCCTCTCTGGGCAGCGGCCCCCGCCGCCGCTTTCCCGGGTCTCTCCGCCGCCTCCCGGGGGCCGCGGCCCGGGGACGTCTCCGCACGCTTTGGTTTCGCTGCGTTTTCTTTGCCCTTTCAAGGGCCGCTGTATGGTTATTAAAAAAGGAGCAGCAGCTCACCCATCGCCGGCCTCGAGGGGATGCTGAACCCACAAAGGGCGCGGGGTGCGGGACCCCCGCTCACCTCCGCCCCGGGGCTCGCCCCTTCCGTGCTGGGCAGGACGGCGACGAAGCTCGGCCCGGGCACGGGCAGCGGCTTCGTTCAACCTGCCCAGCAAAGCCTCTCTACAGGGAGGACGAGAACGTCACCTTGTGAGCGGCTCCTCAGGCAGCGCCTTTCCTGCCTCCCACCGCCCCTCGGCACTGCTGCCTCCCTAATACCAAGGGACAAGAGGGGCACGGGAGTTGTTTGGGAAGAGGGAGACAGGACAGCTCAGACCCCATCGCCCACGCGGTCATTCTCCCTCTCTGTCCAGGGGAAATGACAAACAACAGCTCCGGGAGTCGCGGGAGCAGAACCGGCACGTCCTAGTCACCGGCAAGCCAAAAGGCAACTGGATGTTGTATCGAGGAATTAACTTGATTCGATTAACCATTTAATTAAATCGTCTGCCGCCAGCGCTCCGTTCTGCCATCGCCTAACGCCAGACAGAGCTTATTTCCCAGTTAATTTAATAGGCAGTGGTTAATGATAACTCAAAATCTCGGCCAAATGAGGCTTCTGTGAAGGACTGGGT